TTTACTTACCATCTCAAGGGATTCTTCAAGTGTGCTACCCCCTGATATAATATTAAGGAAAATTAAATATTTACATGAATTATATATATTATCATTGTATCATCACATAAATTTATAATTTTGTGGTATTGCATGGAGTTCATGTATCTGCACCCTACCATATTAGGAAATGCAAGAACAAAGTTCCTAGTGAGAAATTTCTAATAATTTTTACCAATTTCCAATCTATAATGTGACATTTTGTTTTCTGATGTTAAATTGTTGTAGCTCTAGGACATCTGTTGGTTGTCTGTGCATTTTTGACAGGAGCTTTTTTTGAGTGAATATTTCTTTTTGTACTAGTAGATTAAAAAATTGTGTGTAAACAAAAATAAATCATTAATCCAACAAATATTTAAAGTTGTCATACTCTATTAAATGTAATACTGTCATTAAAAGGATACATGAATGAAGTCTGTTAGGAAAAAGCAAATATATTATGAATAAATATCTCATTTACTGACCATTATTAATTTCATAATTTTTAATAATGTCTGTCACCATTATAAATTATAATGTCTAGTACTTCTGTACTAAACAGAATGGAATTGGAATTTCACCAAAGCATATGGCAAGGATGAATAGGTTCTAAGTTTGAAAACAAGATATTAAAATTGTGTGTTGTATAGCGATGCTTTCAAATTGCAAAAAAATACATGCCATTTCTACACCAAAAAACAAATTACCGGTAGACTAAATTGATACTTACTGGACATCTGCAGTGTGGTCCAGGTCTGTTAACAAAACATAATAATAAAACATTTCATATTACACTTTTGAAAAGAGATCGTTTTGAGGTCTAAAACCATTCAACCAATCAATTAATTAATTAACAAAAAATTACAAAGAAGCCTTGGACTTTCCCAGTCAGATTAAAACCATATCTTGGTTTGGGCTTTTTTATTTCACTTTTTTTATTATTTGTTACTAGCTTTCAAAGTTTTAGTAATCATGAAAGTCCACAATGTATAAGGCTATAGTTAAAAATTATATATACGCTAAAATTTTGGAAACAGTGCACTTCCATCAATGGGAGGTAGTGGCACTGGCAGCACTGTTTTGTTTTTTGCTGTATGTGAAGGAAAACAGCTCATTTATGATACATGTAAGACATCTTCAGAATAGAATATTGTTCAATGATAAGGCAATCATTTTCTGGTAATGCTCCAGTCAATGTCAACCCGGCCCCTTCTACCTCGGGCGATA